AAATGCTTCTTTTTTGACCAGAATTAATTTCCTGGACTGAAATTCGGACCAAAATATCCCTTACATAAAATACTTATTTGCGACGAATAAACACACCTTGGAAATTCCTAATTTTGGAGTAAAATCCATGTATCTATTTCGTGAAAACCTTGTGGAGACCTATTCACCTATAGAAATTGCCTTGTGGACGCCTTTTGTTCCGTATGGTACACACGGCTCAATATGAGGTAGTGGTTTACGATACACTCTGTCCCGCCCATATCCCAATAAAGTATCCTTTGTAGGCCTATGGCAAACGACGTTTTCAGAGATTTGTCCTTTTTTACGCAATTTGTTAATCTGAACTGCAAAAGGCTTCAGTTCCAAACACTTTAATTCTTCCACAACTGACTGATATTTTCAAAACTATAAGGAATTCCCCCAAATTCTTAGTTGTTTTCCCCAAACAGTTTCGACAAAATCTGGAAATCAGGTTCCCCCTAAAGAAAAAGGTCACATCAAAGTCCTTGACAACTATGAACTTCCCACGCAAACTCTAGAATTCATTCGCGAAATGCTCTGTGAAGAGTGAAACAAAAACTGGTTGCAGACAAAATATTGAAGTTTTGTCATCTTGCGGTTTTGTGGTAGGCCTACATGTTACACTGACGGGCGCATACTAGATATCACAATAACCTTTTGCTTCAACTTTTTGCTGTGATAATATTTCCTTCCAATTAAGACTAGTGGTTGAGACTATTCCTTCTCGCCACTAACAATATCGTCACAAACAATAATATTTAATACTCGGACTTATCAGAAATTAAATATAGATTTTACTTGAGCTTAGGGTACTGAGGTAGTATAAAGCAAGACTACACATAATTTTGTTGATTATATTTAACGAATATATAGATAAAGATATTTTGAAATACAGGGTGCCCCCCCCCCAAAAAAAAACCCCGGAACGGCGTACTTCCGCTATCCCGAGAATCCAACAATCTAAACCAATGCATGGGGAATTCTGTTAAAAGAAATATGTTACTATTGATCGCCCAATTCGGTCCAGTAGTTTTGGTTCTACAGCCTATTTTGTGAGACAAAAAAAAGTCGGGAGTCAATTTTGTCCCGATGAATTACTAAACCGCGCCCGCGAATTTTACTTAATTGGATAGAGGGATTAATTGTCATGAAATAATACCACATGAAAGAGGCGTGCTTCACAATAACGGCTCTGCAGTAAAAACTACTGGACCGAATCGGGAGATCTTGGTATCACATTTCTCCTAAAAATATTCTCCATCCATGCAGGTGGTTTGAGTCTCAAGGTAGAGGAAGTATGCCGTTCCATTTTTGGGGGGCCACCATGTATAGAAAAGATTGTTGAATATTGAAAATAGTAGACCATCTGAGCTGGAGTCTGGAAGCGCGATCCACATGCTACTGTAGGGATATACATAGACGGACAAAAGTTTGCAAGATGGAGGATCTGTACACAATTCCCGGCATGTGTGATAGTCTTGTTCCAAGACTGGTTTTACGTTTTATTCCCTAGACGGTCCCTGACCAGTATTAAAGCAGCCATTGCCATAGAGGTATCAACGCATTGTATTCAGTGCACGAGCGTGTGGTTTACTCGGCATTTCCTGGGTAGCGCTGCCAAAGTTCCCAAGGTTGGATTTGATTCATTTTGTTGATAGTGCCCTCTTCCGCTGCGGCAGCTTAGCTGTGCTAATTGTCACAAGGGAATTTCAGTCTTGAATCAAGACCACACACAACTTGGGCATGAGGGTCTGGTAACCCCTGCGGCAGTTGCTTTTTACTTGGCCAATAGGTAGTAGAAGGAGCCCGACCAAGTGTAGCGATTGCGCTCCCATTGCAACTGGTAAGTCGTGGCCCTGCGGTCCTCGGCCCGCGGGCCGAAGTAGACAGAGGTGAAGGCAACTCGCCCCGAGGGTTCGTCAGGCCGCGGGAGGCCCCTGTCACCACATCGGCTTGAGCTGCCTGCAAAACAGTTGAGCCGATCTCCTGTAAGAAATGTAAAAGAAAAGTCATAAAACCGTCGCATTCAATCATTCAATTCATCAGACTGTAAAGTTGGGGGCACAATCACATAGACCACCCACCTTCGTCCAACGGCTCGGATAAAGTGGGGACACAACACCATTGACCGCTCACCTCCTTTAAAGCATAGCCCAGATAAATCAAACCGGGAACACAATCACACAACCTGCACCCACCTTCATTGAGCAGCCCCACAAACCATAGTGGGGACACAATGTAACAGGCCACCGTCATTCGAGCGCAGGGCAAGATGGTAAACAAAAAATTACATAGCGAGTACCTTAGACAAATCAATGCAGGGGGACAAATACCATAGCCCACCTACCTTCATTGGGTGCCTGGACAAACCAAAGTGGGAATACAATAACATAGCCCACCAACACTCATCAAGCAGGACTGAAAAATAAACTGAGGCACAATCTCATAGCCTATCAACCTTCATCAAGCATGATTGACAACTTAAAGTGGGAACACAAATCCCGACACATCTGCAACCTGCACATCCCATAATGGGAGTTTGCTTGCAGTATTGATCCAGATCCAGATCCGGATCAAGATCCAGTCTCCAGATCAAGATCCGGATCCATGTAGATCCAGTCTTCAGATCCGAATCCAGATCCAGATCCGGATCCAGATATCCAGATCCAGATCCAGATCCGGATCCGGATCTTGATCCAGATCCAGATCGAGTCTCCAGATCCGGATCCCGATCCAGATCCGGATCCGGATCCAGATTCGGATCCAGATCCGGATCCAGATCCAGATCTCAAAGCACACCCACCTTCTTCGGTCAGCTCCAAGCGTGTATGGTCCAGACCGCTCCCGATCGTGAAACTCTTTTCCTCGAGCCACGGCAGAGATCGCATCTCCAAGGTGGATGGGTTGGTCGAGGCGTCCGCCTGCATCCGGAACGTCACGTCGGTGAAGACACGGAAGGTGTTGAAGCGCAGATCCTGGATGAGCTTGATGTCTCGCGGGTTGATGATGGTCAGAGCGACCTCTCGCTCGTCCTCGTCTGCGAAGTCCCAGACGGACGCCATGCCGCCCCGACCGAATCGTGTCCAGCCTCCATCAAACACGTCCATCTCGCAGTAAACCTGTGTAACAGAAAGGATACACTTTAAACATTAATTTTGATTGGCGAAGCCACGACGCGACTTGAGGGAGACTACAAACGCCGATTCACCCAGGCCGACCGTACATACCCAGTGTTGACATTCCTTTGTCTTCGTGTAGTTAAGAAAAAACGGAGATGTTTACTCACTCTGTGAATACTCCTTCAACCCATTTTGTTATCACGATTTCCTTGAGTGTTCCTCTTCATTTTGAGACAATTAGTTAACCTTAACCCCAAAATGCCTCTAAACCTGTTTTCGAGAGAGGGGGAAACCTTGTGTGGACCTGGCTTAGTCCACACAAGGTTCACACAACCTGCATCGTGTGGACCTGTTTTGTTCTAGGTCCACACAAAGATGGCAAGGTTGGCACATTTTCACGTGCACGCGATAAAAATTACTTAGTAGTATGATAGGATGACGTCACGGTTTGCGAGCACACGTGACATACAAATCGAAAATGCAATTAAAGGCCTCGTGTCTTCGTCACCCAGACTGGACATTGTGTAATCCTCTCAAGTCGGCTCACGGCATTGCCGCTCGGTTCCAAACTCAAGTTCCAAGTACTGATCCTCCTTGCTTATATGAGCTCACCTCTGTATAGACAATGCTTCGGATGAAGTAGGTACCGCTGGGTTTCCGGCAGGCTTCGTGGAGTTGGCTGCAGGCCGAGGCTGGGTAGAGCGCCGAGCCCATCAGCTCACATGAGTTGGGACCCAGCCCCACGTAGAACGACAGTCCTGCTTGACAGACAAAACAAAAGGTTTTTACTAGAAATAACCGGGTATTTGAGGTTGATTGAGAGCTGGGGCCACGCCTATGCCCTGTTCAGCTCCGTCAGAAAAGACATATGTCTGGGAGAGAGCTTCGCCTTGTCTGTGATTTTGTTCTCGGACTCGGCGAACCTTTTTCCGGGGAACGAGTCTGAATGATGTTAAATTTTATTAACGGTATAATTTGTTAAATAAAAATGTAATACAACGTAAAACATTGAGCATGTAATGGACTACTGTTGTAATGGTAGCCGCAATATGGCGGGTGGTGACTTCACTTCGAACACCCAAATGAGCTATTCAGATTTCTTCACACGGATTATCATCGGTTTACCTCCGATGATGTTGACGAGTTCCTCTGTCTGTTCGCACTGGTCCTCCTCGGGAGTCAGGGCAACGTTCAAGGAGGCCACCGTCAGCTTCTTCATCTTGTTGCTGTCTTGCTTGAGTTTGGACAGGCTGTGCTGAAGGCTGGCGGTCAGGGTCTCTAAGGTCGTGATGCGGTTCTCCATCCCTACGCGACAAAAATATAGGTCATAACCTCTACTAGGGGAGGCGCAACAAGACAGTGGCGCAACCACTCAAGTCCCCCCCCCCCACCCCCCACCCCCAAAAAAAGGAAAGAAAGGAAGCATCCCTAAGCCACTCTTATAAGAACCTAAATTTAGCTTAAAATGAACACTGGAAAACGGTGGCGGGCTTCACCTTGGCTATAGTGTTCAGTATACAGGGCGACCCCAAAAATGCAAACCTAAAGCATTTGCCTTTTAAACAAAAAAGAGGGATCATTGGATTTTTATGGTTTTGGTATCAGATTAAAGCTTAGAGCTTTTTCTTTCAAATACTGAAAAAAAAAATCATGAAAATAGCACTTTGGGTTACTGAGAAAATGCCAATTATGTAAAAGTAGTCAATTTTTTTTTCGAAGAAAGTTCTCCAAAACCACATTGGTAGAGTTTCAACACGAAATCACAACTCGAAAAATCATCAAGTCTATAAATTCACAGAAAGGCAAAAAATAAATCATCATAAAAAAGGAGAACATTACCTTCATACTGCGCAGGGTCGCAAGTACACGTCGTCTCTTGGGCCGTTGTTATGGCAACCCAGATGGTTGCCATGACGATAATTGACGACAGGATTCTCATTATGTATGTGCTGAACAAAGAAAGAAGTAAACAAAACCAGATGTGCATGTGATTTTGTATACATGTAATTGCGTTTTATTGTTTAAAGTGAAATCCCTGCCAGCACCTAAACACATTAATGGATATCGTGGTGTTTTCTTTTAAGATTCATTGCAAAAGAAATACAAACTCAAATCCAATTGTAAATTCCTTTCTTTTCATCAGAAAGGTTGTGAGTTTCCAATGAGACATCGCATCAAAAATATCGATCCGCGATAAAGTAAAAGGTTTCTTACTTTGTTTATTAAATGGAACTTACCAAATCCTAATTGTAACAAAATCAATCAATCATTCAAACAAATCAATCATCCTGCGAGAAAATCCACCCCCAAATATAAATGGAAAGGAGTATAATACAAATTGTGTAATTTGTATGTTCAAAACAACTTTTCTTCCAAAATTTGTTTACACGGAGAAAGTCATTTTTACTTCAAATACAGGGTGTCTAAAAAATTTGCAGCAGTCAACCATAAATATTTGGAAAAATACTAGCGCTTTATTTTTGCAAAACTTATCTATAGAGTCTGAAGATAGTAAATACTCTACACAATGGTCTTTATCCCATCATTGTGACACCCCAGTCCAGAGATACAGCTATTTAAATGAAATGACTTGAATTCCAAGTTGGGCCGCTTGGTATCTAATGAAAGGCATTCACATACCAAGAAGGCGATGAAAGTGGCCCAAACAGATTTCGACGGTCTTTACAAGCTTTGCCGTAACTTTTAAACAAAAGCTCCAAATCACAGCGAACAAAGATCCTGTCAAGGGTAAAGAAACACTTTATCATCTCAAATGATCTCATGGTATTTTTTTTTTACCCAAAAAAATATTTAGTTCCTTTAGAAAAAAAACACATGTTGTTTGACTGCTATGTTATTTTTTTTAAGACACCCTGTGCAATACACAGACAAAATGTAGAAACTCAAACAAGCCAGGGGCAGCGGAACGCGCTTTTCTACCGGGGGGGGGGGGGGGGGGGGGAGGGGGGGCACCCAAAAGGGGCACTTGTTCAGAAAAAGGGGCACCTTCCGTCGGTGTGAAAGTGAAGGAAAAGAATATGGTCCGTTCATTTCGCTATACACCTATATGACGAGGAACAAATTATGAATACGTTGTCCATCTTGCTCTTTGTGTTTCTTTTACCTAGTTATGTAGACAGACATTTTTTTTTATCGCGAGAGGGGCACTGTTGCTTTTGATGGCCAGTTCAGTGACTATTTTTTTTTCGCGTGAAGAGCACTATTATTTTTTAGGGGCCAGTTTTCATCTTAAGAGGGGGCACAATTTTAATGTTGCGAGCGGGGCACTAATTGTGCTTTCGAGGGGCAGTTTTCCATCTCGAGAAGTTATCGCGAGAGGAGCACTATTGTTTTTGATGGCCAATTTTTCATCTCAAGAGGGGCACAATTGTATTATTGCGAGAGGGGTACTTGTGCTTTCGAAGGGTAGTTTTGCATCTCAAGAAGGTGCACAATCTTGTTAATGCGAGAGGGATACTTAAAAGTGTTTTTGAGGGGCAGTTTTGCATTACAAGAGAGGAGACAATTTTATTTGTAGCGCGATCATAATGCTTTCATGTGTGCCATTGAGGGGCATTTTTGTTTTCATCTCGAGGGGGCACGTTTACAACCGCGAGAGGGGCACTTTTGTTGGCCTGGGAAAATCTGGGGGAAAGTGCCACCCCTCTCTCTGTCCCCTCCGGTTCCGCCGTCCCTGAAATAAGCACAAACATTGCCTCCATCATAAACATAAAATCGACCTTCTAAGACGAAAATGACGTGTTGCCATAATTTTATTGAAGGGGGAAGAGGTATAATTGTTTTATCTTCTATTGCTTTCTTCTAAATACCAAGCCATTCTCTGTTTTAGCATCGACAGTCAAAAATATAATAAATGAGACAGTGCCCCTCCCCCACCAAAAAAAGGGGGGGGGGGTCTCCACTCCACACTCAAAACTTTTAAACTTTGTCCTATCGACTTCAGTGACCTAATTTTGACAAACCGAACGTGGGAAAGATACCTATTTGCTGCTGTGATCATAAATGGGTTATCTTGGGACATCGCCAAAACACAGTGCGAAAGGTTATCAGTCTCCATCTGTCCCCCAGATCAGAAGGATACTTTTTTAACCGCACCGTTTTGTACGGCAGAAGTGCAGTGAACACTGATAATTTAGATCAAACGTTTACATGGAATGAAACCAACTACGGTAAGAATAAGATAGGTGAAGTTTTTCATATTTTATCGCTGTTTTTAGTAAAAGCATTGAAAACTGGAAAGCACTCAGAGAGCGCAAACCTCCGCCAAGGCTAAACAATTCCCCGCCATATTGTCAGTAGGCCTACACCCAAAAGAAATACTCGCATATATGGTCAAGAATCCTGAACAAAAATCCTGGATCCAGACCCAGATCCGGATCACTTCCAAAATCTAATCGATTTGTACTTGTACCAAGAACCACCCCTAAAAAAATTCATGCAAATCCGTCCATAGCTTTTTTATTTATCTTGTTAACAGACAAACCAACCAACCAACAAACCAACCAACAAACCAACAAACTAGCCAAATCCGATGAAAACATAACCTCCATGGCCGAGGTAAAAACGAATTCACTAGCCATATGTGGGGAATTAACACGATGATTTTTTTTTAAACAGCTAAATAATTTCGTCCAAATTTAAGCCGCATCACTTATTTTCCTTGCTGAAAAGGTTTTAAGCATAAACATATCCACCGATTGCAAAAAAAGTGTTCTTGCCGATATGAGGAACAACAATACAACACATCTGAAGCAGCTTATTTATAATTTAACCTGTTAAAATTTCAGCAAAGTAGATAGGCCTATCCTTTTTGAGAACCTGCGAAAATGCATCTTCATCTTTTTCAACGCAAACCATAGGTCCTAGCCATCGCGAGGAAATTATGGTAACCTCTTTTCTCGAAAATGACAACATACTAGGCGCAACGATTTCACAGGATACTTGATCCTATTATTTACTTACAGTCAAGTAGGATAGTTCATGATATTTTGACAGTGTCACTTTTGAGTGTTTGCAAAATAATGTCCATTACATTTATATCAGTTCTGGCATTGTGCAGGCACAAAAACAATGTTGTCATGCATGAAAGATAAGTTACCTAGGCCTGTGATGGCGCATAACGAAAACGCAAACCAAAAATATGATGATGTCCAATTGCCAAATCTTCAAAGAACTACAAGACTTACCTTTCGAAAAATCACTGCTTTCGTAAAAATCGCAATTGCTTTCCAAATCGTCTTCTTTACCCAAGACTTGACAAACCGATTCAAACATTCACGGACAGAAAGTACGCGGATTCTGACCTTGTATCGACTCCGCTTGCTTTTATTCAGGGGGTGGCGGATAGTGACCCAGTGCGCAACAACTGACGCTGATTGGGAGCTGAGGTGCTTGAGGAGGCGTGGTTTCCATCAGATCATTACTTTGAGGGCGTGGTCTCCGCTCTGCGCATGAGCATGGTGGTTGGTTTAACGCGAGGAGGTGGATCCGCTATGTTTGAGTTTTTGACGTGTACGTGGTCTCAGGCCTCTAGGAGCATTTTTATGAACTAAAATATTATTGACTGTGTCTGTACTAAGGCTCGTCCTTAAAGCTTAAGTCCCATGCGTCGAATTGCTCATCGTACGCCAAGTTTCCGGAGCGTGCCCTGACGGCAGTTTGCCCCGTGTCTGACCCGACGGCTGGGCCCAATGACTCGCCCGCTCGACGCAACCACGGAGACAAAAAAGAAGAAAACGAAAGAAGGTTGCGTGGGCTCTCTTTGGGCGAGTTCCAGTAGGTTTTCACAAAGTTCAACATCAATTGTTTCATAAAGTTCCTCGAGCCCTAGATATCACACGGAGATTATATTTCTTTCCACAAAATGAAAATAAAGGCCCTTCTTATCGGTATTGCATTGTTCACATTGCATTGTGACAAATTGTCACTTTTTCCCTTGGGGGCGTCAGATTTGATAAAGCACAGGGCAGGAAAAAAAATGAGTAAGCAGTATCGTGGAATATTTGGGTCCATTTTGCTGGGAAACTTATGGAATATTTGGGTCCATTTTGCAGGGAAACTTGTAGTGGCCTCATAGGCCACTCACCTCATTTTTGCCTTCCTGTTTCGAAGCGGTTGGGGGGGGGGGGGCGGGGGTCCTCGCGCGGAGGGGGTGTTGTTCTACCCATTTTCCTTATAGCCGGTTAATACGCATCCGACGTCACAGCCCAAATTGCATAAAAGTTCGAAACGTCAGCACCTGTATAAACGTTTACAAACTCTCCACATTCTGTTATTGTTGTTATATAAGTTCTCCGTGGTGGAAGTTGAGTAAAATATGCTGGAGTTGGCACAGAACCGATCGTAAAGCGTCGACCCCGCTGACGTATGTTTTCAGGAGCTGTGAAGTAACTCAAGGTCTACTTCACACCGTGTGTTCGACCGCGTGTAGGCCTAACCCGTAACATGATGACGTGGGGCAGATAAAACATCGTACCACATTTTGATGTCACGAGCGAGATGGAATCATTTATGTTCGGTAATACGGCGCACATTTTTGTTTTGGCTATCCTCGTGGGTGGCATTTCTCATTCATTTCTTGCGTTTCTGACGCGCCCGTGTACCGAGCGTATCAAGTTTCTGAGATAACCCATTTTTGTTTTACACAAAGAGGCCCAACCTTTCTGAGTCACATAAAAAAACCACCTGTCTAACATTAATGTTCCTCATCAGATTTCTCTTCAAAGGAATGATGTCTTTGAACTATGGTTTGAACTGCAGACAACGAGAGAGCAATAGTGGAGGGGCTCCAATCCTGGCCAAATCTCGCTGGGCCCCCAACCCCCCGGCCCCCGTTCAGTGTTGTCTCTCATTGCGCGGTGTGTGCTCCATCAGCTGGAGAGAACAACATTGACCGGGGAGCGGGGGAGTGGGTGACCGTGGGAGGCTACGGTTATTTCCACGTGTCCCAACTATTTTGGCCGGGATTGTAGGTAGCAACTTCATATCAATTTTTATGGTAAATACATAATATTCTACAGGGTGAGTAACAAAAAAAACACGAAACCCAAATGGCACGACCAATTCCTGAATGAAGTTTTTCCTGTAGCACTTTCAAAATCTAGGATATGAACGCCAAATTCATAAGCTTTCTTTTAGTACAAGAATCATTCAAATCACTCATGTTCTTTTCAAGTTAGGGAGTTTTGAACACAAACACCATTTTCAAGTTCTGTCCACGGATCACCGTGAAAAAAAAGTAAGTGTTCTTTCAGCAAAACGATGTGTGTGAATCGATTTCGTTTTGCTGAAAGAACACTTACTTTTTTGTGATCCGTGGACAGAACTTGAAAACGGTGTTTGTGTTGAAAATTCCCTAACTTGAAAAGTACATGAGTGATTTGAATGATTCTTGAACTAAAAGAAAGCTTATTGATTGGGCTTTTATATCCTAGATTTTGAAAGTGCTGCAGGCAAAACTTCATTCGAAAATTGGTCCTGCCATTTGAGTTTCGTTTTTTATTTTTGACTCACCCTGTATATTTTCCCTTATTTTAATACGCCGACTATAAATAACACCGAGTCCAATCATGTGCCAAACTAGACTATAATGAAAAAAAGGAGATTGGTATCAAGGCTACGCCAAACTTGACAAGCGCAGATTTGGGTCAAGGTTTTAAAGACTACTGCCAGGAGAACTAATCATGTCATCCGGTTGCGTTCCGGTTTAGCTGGAAAAAGCTACCAAGGACGGAACTTTGGCACGTCTTGCGTCGGAAGTGGTTTACGATTCGCGAAGGCCAAGTTTCTCATCAGACCATAACGGTGCCAAAAAATCCATACTCGATTTTTGTCGACAGGGAAACTAAACACAGAGATAACTTAGGCCTACATCCAAATATGCTTGCCTATATATATTTCCCCCCTTAAAAAGCAATTAAAATTGAAACATCAATGAAGCACGTATTCATCGAGCATGTTCTTCCGCTCATGTGAACAAGCAAGAATGACCGAAATTGATTCATGCCATCAGAAGTTATGCATGTTTTACTGAGAGCAATTTGTTATATCTGTCAATGCTAAATGCTTTGAAGCTATCTTGAAAACACCATGTTTTATTTCAGCCTCTATGCAAGGAACTCCAGCAATGCTGCTCCGAGTTTCAGTCAATACTGAAACATTATATGAGGAATAAATCAGGTCTTTTCTGAAATGAGAATGCCGGGTTTTTCTGTCTTCCTTCGTTTTCTTTCATTGTATTAAAAGTATTCATCGATGCGAATCGGTAAATAATCAGTGCTGGACGGCTGAATTTTGTGATATTTCTATTAATAACAGAAATAACTTGGTAATATGTTATGCAAATTATGTGCAATTTTCACAGTTACTAGTCAATAACATGTACTTTATTCCTATATTATTTTATATTAAATGTAGCGAGCCACATTTCTGTTAAGTACTTTTTTTTCAACTCCGGTACTTTCTTTTTGACTCACAAAAAGTTTTATTACACCATTCATTATACAGCAGACATAATAAAAATGAACTATAGAATTACACAAAGACATCCTTGATTTAGGCATAAATACTAGTTTTTGTAAAAGTACCATAATTTCCAAAATAATTGAAACTCGGGTCATCAAAAATAAATAGATTTATTATAATGTTTAATAAATACATTTCAGTCATGAAGTGCACAAAACACGTTAAGTTCACGTTAAATAAAACATTGTGCACTCGCATCGTGGTTTCCTGATCCTCGCCGCATCAGAGAAGCCATCGAAATCTTCAAGCACGACACGGTACTCTTCAAGACATCGGCTTCTCCATCAGTGACATCTGGCGCTCCATCTTACCGCTCAGTCAAATGGGTCTTCTTTACCCAAGGACAACTCAGTTCCCCCACCCTAGTCAGCATGTGGGTCCCTTAAGGGTCCAGACCAGTGAATAATACTGCCGTAGACTCCAATGATAAATGCCCCCACTCCAGAAATTAAGGAAAAGTACTCACAACTCTCCAAGGTGTTCGAGACACACATCAAATTAAGCTTATTTCATCATCTTTCAATTTTTTTGGGGTAATCTGATGACTTTTGGGAGAAATTTCCATCCGAAGATGATCACCATTTTGAAAAACGACGCCTACACTCCATTGCAAAATAGAGCGCTTTTAGGGCTCCAATTTCATCCAAACTGCACAGAACTATAAGCTCACAGGCCTGTGCACGGCTTCCACCCATATTTTTTACAAACCCTCAAGTTCATGGCCCACAGCATGCTCAAATACTAAAGAAATTGAGGGCATGCAAATCGTGATTTGGCCGGCGTAGGCATTTCGGACCGATTTACTGGCCTGCAAACCCTATACCCTGGGCAACCTTCACCTCCACCCCCTTCCTCCACACTGATACGCCTCACCGATCTTCATGCATCCCCTAGCTCCATCATGACTCACGCCTCACTGATCAGCCAGCATCCCCGGCTCAAATGTTGCATCCTTCACTCGCTTCACTGCTTCCACTCATACTCAAAACCTCCCTTACCGTTGGCATCCATTCAGTCTCCTGACGACGGGCAGTGCATGCTGCCCGAAACGTTGAGTTTTCCCCGGTTCTTTTCAGAACCTCACAAACTCATAATTAAAAATGAGATTTAGTACATGGCGCTACCGTAAATCTTTATCTTATTGTACAATCGGGAACACCCGAGCTATCGCGAGCGCATCCGGGTCATCAACGAAAACGTGTTCGGAATACGTCGGGAATTTTCGGAAACTGGGGGAATGCTGCTCGTATTTGGTCACGTGCTGTCGGCGCCTTCGACATTCGTCACAACGCGTCATGCCTTTTCTGTGATAGGTGGACCGCATCTTGGCAATCAACCAAATCACGTGACCACGGGCGCTTGGAAGCTTGTTCAATGTAGTTTGAAACATTTAAATTATATAAAATAACTAAAACTTGATTCCAAAGATTTACATTAACAAATGCATGTGGGTGCACAATTCCTTATTATATTTGACGGTTTCAATGTAATAACTCAACACGAGAGTTTGCGAGAGTTAGCGAGAGTTTGTTCAGTCACGTGACAAAGGCGCATGCGTGTTCCTTGCACGTGTTTCTATACCATGTACATGTAGCTTACATGTACAAATAATACCAATCATGATCAACAATTAAGCGAAATCGTCAGCGTAAGACATTATCACTCCGACACACATAATCACAAGCAAATCACAATCGTTAAGTACGCCATTACGATCAAAAGTACAAGTCACTGCTACGTGGAGACGGTACGAATTATATAGGAAAGTAAAAGTGACTGTGTATTAAACACAAATGCTAACGACAGGTTTATACGTCATATTTACACTGGTAGACGTAATTACATAATTTAAATAAAATGTTGAAAGAAACACCAATTTAAACACCAAATGCAAGAAATAATCAACTTGTGAACTATTTATACATTTTTTTCCCCGCGCAAAACATCAGTTTATCGCAACGGTCTCTTGCAATACAAGGACCGCCATTGTGTTTGTTGATGTGATTTCTTCCGAGACGTTTCGCGAAAAGTTAAGTAGGGGCTCTAAAGGGCGATCTGCCGATTTTATTTTCTGTAACCGGATATAGTCACAAAGTCTAATTATTGGGGCGTGGTTTGGTTAATATTATTAAAAATAATATTATCATAGGAACCCGTATCTTGTTATTTCACCGATTGACCCCTTTTATTAAACAAATTTTCCTCAATTTTTTTTTTTTTTTATATATCGTGTTTAATCGAGTCCAACTTTTCAATGCAATACATTTCACCTCTTTACTGCTCTGAAGATTTTTTTTCAAGACTATTAAAGTCCAAAAATTACTTCACCAAGGCCGGAAGTATTTTTTAAGGCCCCTGACATAGAATACACATAGGTCCATGTTCACTCCGTTCGAGCATTTAAGGTTTCATAATCATTCCGGAGCCAGGGAAGAAGGCGGCGGAGCCGGCCCGAAGCCGTGTTTTGGAAAATGACCCTGAAAAACCAAAACAAGTACGACTGCACAATAAGCTACGTCCGTCTTGCATGAAATGATAGAATTCCTCACTTGTTCGTGATTGTCGATTGAAATAAGGATTTCCCATTTGTTGAAATTAAGTCACAATGCAAAGTAATAGTGACCTCCATAATGCAAATCTGCATCCTCACTCCTACGCCCTGGAGACTCATTAAACTGACACGGGGCCAGAGGCAGGGGTGATGCATAGTGACAGGTCGAGAAGCCCCCTAACCTCCTAAGTTTCTAGCGCACAAAATACCACGTGACTTTAACATTACCGCACATTATCTTGCCTCCGAGTAAAAAATTCTCAAAAACAACTTCACAAATTGTTACAAACAATGTTAGTTTAGTATTTAATGTATTTTGTTTGATTTTGTGGACAGTTACGACTTGGTACTTACAGTTTAACTGGACACTGGGGGTTCGTTTTGGGTCAATTTTTGGGGGACCGACCGAATGACACCAAAGTGACTTGAAGAAGCTCCGTTGCCAGAGCTTAAAGCATTTTGGGAAGGGAGTAGTCCGTGCTGTAGGCCCACTCTAGTGTAAACCATCCATGCAAAGACCTGCCCTCATCTGTGACGCCGGCTGCAAGGGGTCTGTAGGCCAACGGCGGCGCGGAGTTCCATGCCTAGTTGAGGTCGTCAACAGATCATGCCGATGTTCTGAGTGCTGGGTACGCCGATTCGTAACAACTGGTTCGCGCTGGGGCTCGTGCAGGGCTTGTATCCCATCAGCCAGTAGGTTTTCATGGTTCCCTTGCCCTGCAAAAAAAAATCAAGCCAAGCACACTTGGGGTGCGTTCGTTCAGCTCACCCGGGTCGACACGGGTAAAGGCAGACGGGTCAGCCACGACAGCCGGGCTAATCGAACGCTCAACCGGGGGCCATCATGATCCTCACGTGACGCCCTTATCCGCGGCCACGGCAACTGACGAAACCCCCGTTTCGGATTGGGTCTTAGTTGAGATTTACTGCTTTTTAGTCAATTGCAAAACTAAAAAATGTTGTGCTGAAATTATATCCTCAAAAGTCGCAATGAACCCAATATAATCCTTTCGACAACTTTTATGTCCACTTGAGATTTCCGCTATCCGGCCGCCATATTTATCCGTTTCTAAGGAATGAACAACGCATGCGTGACGTACTTCCACCAGTGACTCTGCTCCACGAGCAGGGTCAATGGTGGCTGACCCGGGTGAGCCCCGAGAATGACGCCAGAGCTAATCGAATGGCACGGGGCTCACCCGTTTCGACCCGGGTGAGCTAAACGAACGCACCCATTGGAGCAATCCACAATGGAGGGCGCCCCAAAAAGTTACCAAGGAGAGGTTTTCCTAGTCTGGTCCCCTGTCCCCTTTGTCATTCGAACTTCAAGTATGGGGACAGGTAGCTAGCGGTAAATCTTCCACACATCAGGAGGCATCCTCCTGATGTATGCAAATGATATGCATGACGTGGACAGGTCTGAATCCCACCTCCTGAATTGAAAATCACAACGGAAATGTTTGCCTCAACCAGCCTATTGCTGGGAACCAGACTGGTTTTTTTTTTGGTAGAGCATCATGGGAAAAAGAAGACATTCGGTAGACGTTGCAAGATGTCATTTACTTATAGTTCATGGACCTTATTCACGACTCACGAGGTAGCCATTTTAGTCGTGTTCCCTGAATGCATTTCATAAATTGTTAATTGTTGAATGGGATGGCGCCAGACTATTTATGCAACCTTAGTTTACTGTCATTTTTTTAATCTGGCTTAAAACATTCGGGAATGTTAAATTACAATTTTTTTTATTATTCATATTTTAAGCAGACTTGATTTATTTAGAAATGTACTTGCTTTCATGTCTCTTCGCAAGTTCCAAAAATGAAGATTTTACATCACTTTCAATTCAACATGGCCGACTCTTGAATAAGGCCCCTAACTTTGCATCAATAGTGTCATGGACAAAGTCTTTGACGTTTTTACCGACTATGCATATGTTACCTTGATGTCGATGGTACCACGAGCTTGCACCTTGAAACCCCCAAGAATGGACAGAATATTGTAACAGTCGGCGCTCGTGTGAATCTTCATCGCTGCAAAGAGAAGGATGGGGTAGCGATGTAATGAGGATTACGGGCAATGCGTTGGTAAACTATGGAAGGCCAATGGTGCAAAATAAAGATATAAATGTTTCCAAATATAATCATTGGATTGTTGAAATACAAACTAATGAACCTACAAAGGCCAAGATTCATTAAAATGCCTCTTTCTTGCATGATGAGGGTGTTAAACAGCAATTTTGGGAATTTTGTTTCGTTCAATTTCAGTCACGCATCACTGCACAATTGTCAATTTTTTTTACTCTGTGACCAAGTTCCTTGCCTTATCAAATTCAGTGCTGTGTTATGTAAGCTGTGTAAAATCCTACATGTTGTGAAAAGGGCTGCGGTTGGGATTGGAATCATTTGCCTGGCTATCAGTCATCATGGCAAGACCTCAGTTTAATGCTCAAGGGCAAATGATTCCAATCCCAAACCACATCAACCGTTTGTTGAAAACATGCCGGATTTTACACAGCTTGCATGTCACAGCGCTGAAATTGATTAAGGCAAGAACATGGTCACAGTGTCCGAAAATGTAATTGTGATCATTCGACCATTGTGCAGTGATGCATGACTGAAATTTAATGAAATCTTACAGGACTTTAGGCCAAGGATAAGGAGTATCTGCACAATTTTCAAAATTGTCTTCATGGTTTGGTATTTATTTCAAAAATAGTTAGACGGCACTTTTTGGGGGACATACTGTAGAATTTAAAGCCGCATTTCGCCATCTGCAACTCCCCTATACGAGGTCCATCATGCCTTTGTTGGCGCCAAAGCAATATCTTTCCCAACAGAAGTAAATAATCGGTGCGGCAAAAGATTTATGACCTTTTATTCAGGGGACACTGACAAGTAAATGACTCGAATTGCTTAATAGGCCTATGTTCCTCGTTCCGTCGAATGTGCTCTTTCTGCTTCTGCTTGTATACCGCACACAGCGCCCCGGACTATCTGGAAACAATGTACCTGAAACTTGAACCCATGTGTACTTCGTAGAGCAAATCAAACCAGCCACTAAATTCCTCAATTTGTTACTTTCTGGTGATTTTCATAATGGACACACCTGGGGCCAACTCTTTAACTTGACTATGTTTTCTTTCACTTTATTGCCATCAATGGCCGTTAGGCCTGCCCATCGCAGACAAACGCGGCACATTTTTTTTCCATCATTTATTATTGATACACGGGCCTACTCACTCGTGTCGCACATTTGGAGCACCGGGACTTCATTTGTTGAGGGGGCATCAATGATACTTAAAAGTAATTGGTAACTGCTATTTTGGCTTGGTTCGGCCTGCGGATATTAAACGGAAGTTGTTTACGACATGTCTTTCCGCCCCCTGGCCCTCTCTCTCTCATTTCAATCTCAATAGCTGTCTTAGCAGATCCTGGGAGGATAGCTGGCTTCGACTGGTTGTTGCAATGGATTTGTATCATAAACCACGTTTTAATGTTCAAACGAGCTGTTGAACCCAACCCAACCCAACCCAACATAACTCAATCCAACCCAACCCAACCCAACCCAACCCAACCCAACCCAACCCAACCCAACCCAACCCAAACCAAACCAACCCAGCCCAACCCAACCCAACCCAACCCAACATAACTCAACCCAACCCAACTTTACAAACCCAACCCAACCTTACAAACCCAACCCAACCCAACCCAACCCAACCCAACCCAACCCAACCCAACCCAACCCAACCCAACCCAACCCAACCCAACCCAACCCAACCCAATCCAACCTGCAACTCAACCGCACCCCAACCAAAACTCATCGCACCCCAACTATAACTCACTTTATTAAGACAACAAAAACAAGATGCGAATCCTGCTATTAAACTGAGCTTACGTTCACCATAAGATTCCATTCTTGAAGCTGTATTTACGGTGTCCCCGAACAGACAAAATCTCGGCATCTTAAAGCCCACAACTCCTGCCACACACGGCCCTTAAGTAATGAAAACAAAAAAAACTTAGAATAATAAAATTTAGTATTTTAGTACGTAAAATATATCTGATAACGAATTTGTATGGAACTTAAAATAGATTCCAAGTTGAACCCATGTCAACATAAATTACACGTAAAATTATCAAATACAAGAACACAAAGTTGACTTAAACCCGAATTGGAATAACGGCCATGTCGTACCCAACTCCGAATCCAAATTAAAGTCAGGGCCCAGTTCAAAATCACCAGTGGCGGTGTTTTTATCTGCAGCACCCATCGTCTATGATCATGATTATTCAGATAGTTTGATGTTTATTCATAAGAAAAAGCAATGACGCCACACCATTGCTATCACTCATACATGAAAGCATTTCAAAGAACGGATTTCGTCGAGCTGCCACAGTGGCCTAGTGGATAGTTGAATGAACCATGGATCGCAAGATCTGTGGTTCGAACCCATGTCCATTTTCACGATATATTTTTGTTGGTTTGGATAGGTTTAATAAGCCTCCGTCCTGATGACGTCACACTTTGTTTACGTCACTGCTTTCCTATAGCGCTCAGTGGACCGTGGGCCCCCACTGGCTCCATAGGAAAGTGCACATGTAAATAAAGTGTGACGTCATCAGTACAGAGCTTTACTGAAGGGAAAACACTACGAGAACCTAAGTGTCATCCACCCACACAGTGTGATAAACATTGATGTTAGGTTGCGTGATCTGATACACCGTGCCCTCTGGAGACATGCACACAATAGGGAACAAAAGATTGTATACGTCTCCACAGGGCAATTTCTATAGATGAATACGCCTCCACAAGGTTTTCACGAAATAGATTTACGATATGGATTTTACTCAAAAACAAGGAATTTCCAAGGTATGTTGATCCGTCGCAAATGGTAGAGTTTTAGAAAAGGGATATTAAGTCTGAATTTCAGCCAAGGAAATTAATTCTGGTTAAAATAAGAGCATTTTTAAACTGTACTTTCAAACCCGAAAACTTTAGTACACGAGAACAAAGAAATGTCTCCACAAGAGGATACAAATTTAAACGCTCACCGGTGTGCAGACCGACTCTTAGCTTGAGCCGATCGGAGGGGAGGTGGGGAATCTTGAATGCATTGCTCTTTTCCATCATCTCCAGAGCCAAGCATGCCACCTCTCCCGCGTGTCGGTTGCCGTTCCTCGTGGGAAGGCCGCTGACCACCATGTAGGCGTCCCCTATGGTCTCCACCTTGTACACGTCATAGCTCTCGACACAATCATCGAAGAGTTGGTAGAGAGAATTCAGGAAAACCACCACCTACCACGGATTTCAAACAAAATCATCGATCCATTTGACTGCTAGACACGGAATATATCTGAGAACTAAAATCAGATTTATTTAAAAAAAGAAGTCAATATGGCCCATCAGGCAGGCATTTATCTCGGGTTTCTGTCGCATGAAGCAAATGAGAATGTACGATCTGGTACACGGTACCCTGTGGAGACATGTGCGCAATAGGAAACAAAAGATTATATACGTCTCCACAGGGCAATTTCTATAGGTCAAGACAATACGTCTCCACAAGGTTATCACGAAATAGATATATGGATTTTACTCAAAAACTGGGAATTTCCAAGGTATGTTGAGCCGTCGCAAATTGAAGTATTTTATGTAAAGGATATAAGTCCGAATTTCATCCCAGGAAATTAATTCTAATTAAGATAGGAACATTTTGAAAGTAACTTTCAAACTCAAAAACTTTAAGTACACGAGAACAAAGAAATGACTCCACATGGATACACATTTCAGTATATGTGACGTGGTAAGTCAAAACCAGCCAGAATTGGGCAGAGCTTGAGATTTAAAAAAAAATGTGATGCTGCTAATGTTTCAAATGTTTTGTAAAAGTTTCAAACTAAAATTTCATCGACAGAGTATTAAAAAAAACACACAAACTTTTAGAGGGGCATGTCATTTCACAAAATGGCACTTTGTTCAAGATTTTGTTTTGAAATGACGCAAAATTAGCGTGACATGTTGGACTCTCCGATATCAAAAATTGACTAATGTTGCTTTGGTATGTCCAATTTCTAAAAAAACAAAGCGGCGTTTGAAAAAGCTGGGACTAAATTTTAATAATATTGCAATAACTAAAAATGGACTTCTTTCCCAAAAGTGCCAAATTTGGACATACCACGTCACATATTTGTATTCACTTGGATGGGATGCTAGTCCATCGCAGGTTACTCCCCAGCTAATGCCAGTACCCATTTATACTCCTGGGTGGAGAGAGGCACGTGGGTGAAGTGGCTTGCCCAAGGACACTACATACTATGGCCAGCAGCTGGATTCGATCCCCTGACACTCTGATATCGCAAGTAACCACATGTCGTAACATATCAATCAATCATAAGTCACCATAATTCATCACATGTCTTCATATGTCATCACAAGTCATCACAAACCAATCACAACAAGTCACCGAAATTCAATGCACCACATCTCTAGCCGGTGACAAGTCAATGAAAATCAGTGGCCAGTCACCGCCAGGCATCGCAAGTCAATCGCAAGTCAATCACACGTCACCACAAGCCATCACAAGTCAATTACAACTCAATCACAAGTCAATCACATTCACATGCCAATCACAAGTAGATCACAAATCAATCACAAGTAATCGCAAGTCACCGAAAGTTAATGCAATTCATCTCTAGGCGGTGACAAGTCAATGAAAAGTCAGTGGCCAGTCATCGCAAGTCATCACAAGTCATCACAAGTCAATCACAAGTCATCACATGTCAATCACAAGTTTGTTCCGACCTGCATAGGGGTGCTCTTGGCCGAGATCTCAGTGAAGTCCACAATGTCACTGAAGAGAATGCTGACTCGCTCATACGACTCAGCGCTGACGTCCTCCCCTCTCCTCAGTTGCTTGGCAACAGGCCTCGGCAACATCCGATACAGTAAGGAATCGCTCCGTTTCTTCTCCAGCTTCAACTCTACCGTCTTCTCGGTTAGTTCTTTACAAAATATCACAAGTGTTTTACTATAAGGGGGCTCATGCCATATTTTCAATGGGGAGCGCCAATAAAATCCTAAAATCATTCACACTATATTAACTAATGCACCCTTGTCACGACTATTTCTTTAGGGGGAGACCGTTCGCATGTACATCACAATCCTTCTTTTGCTAATGCAATTTGTTTTTAAGGATTTTTTTTTTTGGGGGGGGGGCGCTAGACAAAAACATTTTTTGGGGGGGGGCTTAAGTCCCCCTAGCCCCCCCCCCCCCCCCCGGTAGAACCGCGCCCGTCCGAATGTCGAGGTCAAGACGCAGTCATTTTGCATAATTAATTGCCGAATCAGCTCACATAAATTATCATAGACGCTTAGTTGCTTTCCCAAGGGTCTATTATACATAGACTATGTGTATCTGGGGACAGGAGTCAAATCGAGGACGTTAGAAAACGTGTACAAAACCTATGGGAGGTGTTGCTACAAAAAAGTTCACGTATGAACAAAAGATCGATGATAAGGAACAAAAGGAATCTTCGATTTACACCATAAACAAACGTCTATATAACCCCCGAGGACAGACACACAGTACAAAGGGAGATCAACAGATCCTTTCAGTCATCGGGAGTTGGGTCTTTTGTTCAAAACGGTCCTCTGTGGTGGGTTGGTGTGCTTAGTCTATGGGATAGTGTTACATTACAGGGACAAAGAAAAACACAAAGCATTGTCCTCGGGAGTATAGTAAACAAGAGAGTGTGCGCGTCAGCATGTATGACGCAGTCACGGACGAACCGGACAGGGCCGCATTTGCGGCCCAAAAACACACAGCGGAAAAGCATACGTGCGTCGGGGGTATATGTTTATTATGATGTCTATGTCCCTCACTTGGTTAACATAATTAGTCTACAGGAAGAAGACAAGAAATAAATGTACGTACGTGAGGCGAAGGTCTGAATGGATTGCGTTGTCTTAGAGACAAGTATGAAGATGATGGGGATGACCAAACAAACAACGCCGAATAGGGAAGCAGCCAAGGCAATCTTACAGAGAGAGAAAAAAAATAGAGTTTAATATAGTTTACTGTCTTGCCTCGAGAGAACACACTCTTCATAATTATTAATGTTTTTCTCTTCAAATTGTAAAACCAAAATTCTGCTTATTGAAAATATTTTTATTTTCAAATATTCTCATTGTCTTACTGTCGTATACTGAAACAATAATGAACCACTAAAAGCAGCAGAAACATCATGACCTTTTTACTAATAAATTCATAATTATGCACGCATGCGCATCAATGAGCCTAGCGGCAAGACGCAAAAGCGGTCCACTGAAAATGAACATGGTCCAAAATATTCGGATCATTTTCTCTTAATTTCATCAGGATGTGTCGCTCTTTTTTTAATTTAGAAAAGCCCCGAAAATCGTATAATAGGCATTACTTTCTGGCCTAAGTGGACTATTTTTAGGCACAGAATAAAACTATTACAAATGCTTTCGTCCTGTTCGCACGACAGCGAAGGAATTCAGCAGAGCTTTTTTCCGCACGAGGGAAAAAATAACGGTGGGCTTCGGGGTACCCGTTTCGGGCCGAATCGCAGTGCTGAATCGCGTCGGGCTTCACCGTGGCTGAAATTAGCCCATGATTCAGCCAGGGTGAAGCCTGGCCCGCGCGATTCTGCACCGCGATTCGGCCCGAAATTTGGTGGTAGACGGTACCCCGAAGCACACGGTTATTTTTCCCCACTCGTGCCGGAGAGCTGAAGGAGTCCTGCTGATATCCTTTGCCCTCGTGCGCTTTTAACGTTTTTTATTGTGTGCCCCCCTGGGAAAAAATACTTAGGCCAGAAAACCTTTTACGATTTTAGGGGCTTTTCTAATTTAGAAAAGCGAAAATCCTTGAGACATTGAGAGAAAATGACCCGAATATTTGGACCCCTGTTCATTTTCAATGGACCGCCATGGGCGTCGCCAGGATTATTCTGGGGGGGGGGGGGGAAGCACATTTTTCCGCCAACATTTCTTAACCTTTTTAATATTACTCTCAATATATCATTTTCCGAGCGTGGGCAGGGAAACATTTGCTCTACCCCCCCCCATCAAATTAATAGCAATATGGCTTAGCACCTCTTTTTTCTTTTTTGCCTCCTTTTCCGGGGGGGGGCAAGCGCCCCCTGCCCTCCCCCACCCCCCGCGACGCCCATGTGGACCGCTTTCGCTTCTTGCCACCAGGCCTAGGCCCATTTATGCGCATGCGTGCATAATTATGAATTTATTAGTAAAAAGGTCAAACTCCTTTCTGATCACAGTTTTGCTCATGAATATGGAAATTCGCATTAGCATTAAAAAAAACCCCAAAATGCATCCCCCAAAAACGCCCTTTAAAAGGCAGTATGAAGATTAAAGTTGAATGGACACAACGGTACATTTAAAGGATTGCATTTTTTTTTTTAAATCCATTACATTTTGCGGGGTACCCGAGGGTAAGAGTTGCCCCTTGTTTAATTGTGCAGTGTTCCCTCTACCTGTTCGTTTTTAGAAGTGATATCCAGGCTGATGCGTTCGTTGACTATTCTCTCCAAGTACAGTCCGATGTTCCTCATGACTTTCAGCTGAGCCGTGGTGTTCCCCAGCCAGTGCGTGGCTCGCAGTAGCGAGGCACTGTCGTCCAGGACCACTAGCCAGAAGAACGGGCAATACAAAGTCATTTTCATCCCGATTCGTAATTTTTATTAAGGGAATAAAATGATTTGGAGCCGGAGGTGTTAGACGCATGTTCAAGACTGGTAGGAGTCTAGCCTTTAGTCAAGGCCCGCGTGGCTATACCCGGACGTGTGGCGCCCCGGATGCTGAAACAATTTGTGCCAGAATCTGGGCCGCCACGCGTCCGGGTAGACACGCGCGCCTTGACTAAAGGCTAGTTGGAGTCTGGATGCTGATAACCCGGCCAGGGTAATTTTCAGCATCCAGACTCCAACCAGTCTTAAACATAGTGTTTAATACCGACCAAGCACAACCTTTTCGGTCAAAAAAATAGAAACCTTTCGGTAAAAAAGTCAAAACAAGTCACAATTTAACATTTCCTACGATTTTATACAACAATTTTACTCTCTGTTTTTGAAACACCCCTCTAGCTATATAATGGAGTGTCCAGCTCGCGAGTAAGACGTAAACATCTCCTTTTATGAGATTGGCGCGCACGTCGCGCGTACTGTGCGATGAGTGCGTTGTGAATTTAGGACTATGAAATACTGACTCACAGGCAGTACATGTATTGCGCGTGCCTACTTGAGGATTGTGAACGTTCAACCAATAAAACGGTAAAAGGCACCGGATTTCATAGGAGTCCAAATTTCATGTGACACTGGAAAAGTGTTTAAGACCAGCCAGCAGGTCATCCGTTTAAGACGGGCTTTTGACCAATGGGAAAGGGTAAACTGTCTTAGGTATTTAAAAAACTCTTATGGGGAATGACGCGCAGGTCACAGATCACGCAAAATCCAACCAATCAGAGCGTGAATTCTTCAAAGTATCCCAGCGTCCTGTTTGCGAAAGAACTATAAAGCATTATGTTATACTTGGTACATATTTATGCAACAGATCGGACACGAAAGGGAATAAAGATGCGCGCGATTAAGGTAAGCCGGGGGAGGGGTGATAAATGAGTCTACTGTACCTTCCGTGTGATTGTTGTATATTTCTTCAATCATCGTCTCGATTTTGCTCAGTTGTATATTTCGTGCCTCCAGACCCTGATTGTAGACGTCCCTGGTCGAAGGCACGTAGTTCAGGCAGGTGTTCAAGTGGATAACACCAAGCTCTCTGTTACGAACGAAGGCTAGGTAGTTGATGGTCTGCAAGCCCCCGAGGAGATAGAACTCTGCACCGTAGGCCGACATGGCGCCGGTGCACTCCTGGGCGCGGATGATGAACGCGTAGGCCATGACGTTCTTCCACAGGCTTTCGTGGTTTGTCTGCAAGATGTTCTCCGTCAGTATCGGCATGAAGGCCCGGTTGACGCTGGAGTAGATCCTCAGCAGCTCGAAGACTGATGTGTTGCTCTGTCGGCTCTCGGCTCTCAGCCCGTTGAGGAACGTCAGGAACTGCTGGCTGGAGGTGAAGCGGGTTTCCTCAGGCCAGTAGGGCAGATCCCGGACCGCGACGTCGGTCTCGGCGTAACTGTTGTCCAAACTGACTCGGCTGAAGTCGTCGTAGCGAGTGTAGAGCGTGGCCAGGGACTGCTCGATCTCGATGGCGTGCATGATCGAGCCCAGGGCCACCGACTGCTGGAAGAGGGAGTTGAAGTCCGCCAGTTCCTGGCGGGATGAGACGGCGTCCTTCACGTTGACGGCCGTCAGTGCGAAGAGGCAGACGGCCGGTATGAGCGGAAAGAGCAACATCTTGAACATCTGCAGGCGCTTGCCCCAGATTGAGACCGGGCTGGGGTTGCAGCGGCCCACGCTGACCTGGGCCGAGATCTGGAATGAGGAGTGGCTGTTGGGAGAATTCTGACTCCTACCGATGTCCATTCTGGACATTTTGTTCATCCAAAAGGCCAACGGAGCTCACCGGGGGTGAGGAAGGAGGGGACGCGGATCTACCCTTTGGCAGAGCACTGTCGAAGCTGTCGACCTCTTGGTGAAGGCTGCTCTCGATATTTAAACCTGCGGAAGAATCAACAGAGTTTGGAAAACAAGTTTCAAAACGCATCCTGCTAGAAACAGTCACTGTGAAAAATAGACGGGGTAGGCCCAGGAAGAGATGGGAAAATGACATCATTGTTAACGGCACCTTCTACCTGGAACACCGTAAAGCGCAAGATAGACAGGAGTGGAGAGCGAACATTCGTGCAGCCAACGTCCGTCGGGACATGGTGCAAGATCAGATTAGATTCAAGAGGACCACACACAAACACATGAAGGATGTAAAAATTAAAGGAAGTCTTGCCCAAATTTCTCAGTTTAGAGAATTACAAAATCATTCCGTAACTGAGTATAATCCATCAGTCAGTCAGTGGCTCAGACGGCCGGTCAGAGGACATAATGGTTGGCCCCGCGGGCCTAACAAAATAGACTTTCCGTAAAACAAATTTCAAACTCATTCAATGTAACAAACTCAACCAAAGACGAAAGTCCCCCCTTCCAATACTTTTTTGTCCAACTCAAAAACTACTGAGCACCTCTCGCTCAATTAACGCCTAATCAGTACAGAAATTCCTTAGCAATCCGGCCATACTCTCTATTTGGTCCAAAACAGTGATAATGTGTACGAATTTATGCAATTTATGACAAATGATACCGAAAACAGTTGCACATTAATGTATATGTGCAAGTTGTGGTTCACACTCATCTTACACGCCTACAAAAGTGCAACTTTTTTCCGGTACCATCTGTCATCAATTGCATAACTGTGTACACATTATCACTGTTGTGGGCTAAACAAGGAGTTTGGCTGGATTGCTAAGGAATTTCTGTACTGATCAGTCGTAGTTTGAGCAAGATGTGCCCGGTAGTTTTTGAGTTAGACAAAAAAGTATTGAGGGGGGACTTTCATTTTTTGGTTGAGCGTATTACCACATGAGGATATGACCACTGGTCCCTTCAAAATACATACAGGACTGTACACACGTCTATGCGGCAATATATGGTAAAACGTATCTGCAGTCTATTATTTTGCATGCCATCGATCAAAGCAGAGGTTGAAATGGTGCGCGTATGTTGGGAAAACTGCACACAACTGCCACGGTCCAAAGTTTTTCGGAGCTAGTTCTGTAATAACCTCAAAACACGAACTTCAATTTTTGCAGAAACCTCAACTTGGTTCTTTCCGAAGAGAAAAATCGTTAACAACGGGTGTACTTCGCCTCGGTCACTAGTTTGCAAACCTCCAATAGACCATTATGATGTTGCGGCCATCTTGATTTTCCCCATTCAAATCAACGTAACCAAAGCGAGGCTGGAAGGAAAAAAGTCTGGTTCCTTTTTGCACGAAAAACATTATCATTCCGTACAGTTATAAGATACAGGGAACATGACTGAAATGGTGGCAGTATGATAAAGGTCTATACCTTGGGAGCTAATATCGACTATCCACCCTCAAACCACGTCGTATACTAGCTTACAATCGAATACAGCGGCGGTTGCACAACGAACCGACGTACCCCATTTTTTGTGTTTTGAGAAAAACCGATTTAAAGTTGGTAATAATTATGTTTGTAGGCTTATTCCTTGTACTCTGTGTAAGAATTCAAGCTGTTTTCTTTTTTTTGCTAGTTATATTATAGATTGAACTTTATTGTATGCAATCCGTGTGTATCTGAGTTGCTTAGTTTTTAAAGAAATGCAGTTCTCAAGATACACGTCACTTCGTGAAACAGATTTGTATCATGTTGATCGTATATCATACAACGCGCGTTATAGTGGCCGTGTGCCAGATACGGAGATGAAAAGCTAAATTCACACTTTTCGTGTCGATGATCCTTAGTGACGTCACAGCACTATGGGAATTAGCGTGTAAAGCGGCGTATCGTAAAACGACACGTCGTGGTGAACGATTTCAGAATTCTTAGAATTAGAGATACACCGCAGAGTTATTAGTGTTTTTAGTTAATTAAAACTCAGATCGGAATAAAACTTTGTGAGGATGAGCATTTTGATGAAATAAAAAGTTTTGGACAAAAAAATCAACTTGAGATACGCCGGTTCGTGGTGTGACCGACGACATGCAAGTCCATTGTACCACCGAGTATTTTAAATGTGGGAGCGTGAATATGTAGAAGACAAATCTTCACGGAATTAAAGAAAAAAATCTCATTTTTATTGGAAATTTTCTTCGCTTGGAATCCAATGTTCAGTCAATGATATATTCTTCATATATCACCCCTGGTATTATAGTATAAAGGTTGAGTTAAAAAAAAAAGGCCAAATGTCGGGACCATTGTTTTAAAGAAGTTCTACAGGTAGCACTTTCAAAATCTAAGATATTAAAGCCCAATTCATAAGCTTTCTTTTAGTACAAGAATCATTCAAATCACTCATGTACTTTTCAAGTTACGTAATTATAAACGCAACCACTATTTTGAAGATCTGTCCATGGATCACAAGAAGGTAAGCGTCTTTCAGCAAAACGAACCACATCACACAGGGATGTGTGTGAATTGTTTTCGTTTTGCTGAAAGAACGCACACTTTTTTGTGATCCGTGGACAGAACTTTAAAACGGTGGTTGTGTTTAAAATTCCGTAACTTTAAAACTGACTGCTTGGATTGGTGTAACAAAAGAACTCCCCCGAAGTGGTCCATGGAGCGTTCTTTTTTTCTCGAGGCGTAGAGAAATGGAACGCTCCATGGATCACCGATGGAGGCTATAGTTTTACTACACCACGAGCTATAGCAGTCAATATTTGTTTTAGAACGCCTCGCCTACAAAAAAAGGTGCTTGATTTAAGAGATAAACGATTAATTTCATCAAAATTCAATTACAATGTACTTCCAAACTATCCCTTAATGAAACAGTATCAACCAAACTCTGTATCATTAATTAAAACAGCCTCTGTCTCAATTTAAAAAAAAGAAGAGAAAAACATTTATCCGCACGGAAATCTTACAGTAATTTGATATAGGAAAGCAAATAATCAATTTTCTTTCCAGTTTGGATAATTTCGGAGGAAATTGAAAGCCCTTTTCCCCTTGTAATCAAGAAAATCTCGATTTACTCTCTAAAAATAGTGAACGTTGGATGTTTTTAGCACACACACAAAGACCCGTCGTAATTAAAACTTAATGCTGAAAAAAAACCCCGGTGGTTTTATGTTATGACTATATGCCTTTATATTTATCGCTGCTGATAATGCCTTGTATTTAAGGTTAAAGAACGCGCTAAACTACGGTGCGAGTACAGGACTCTTTTTAAACTTTCCTTCCTAAGGACTTTTGTTTTTGGTAGTCAACGCCAAAACCAGCCTCATAAATGGGCCCTCGATGCCAGACTACCTCTGTGTCCCTAGCCCCACTACCACATACAGGATGATTAAAGAAACACGAAACCCAAATTTTGGGACCGTTGTTTTAGTGAAGTTCTGCATGTAGCACTTTTAAAATCTAGGATATAAAAACCCAATTCATAAGCTTTCTTTTAGTACAAGAATCATTCAAATCACTCATGTACTTTTAAAGTTAGGGAATTTTAAACAAAACCACCGTTTTAACGTTCTGTCCACGGATCACAAGAAGGTGTTCTTTCAGCAAAACGAAAACAAATCACATAGGGATGTGTGTCAATTGTGTTCGTTTTGCTGAACGAACGCACACCTTTTTTGTGATCCGTGGACAGAACTTTAAAACGGTGGTTGTGTTTAAAATTCCGTAACTTTAAAAGTACATGAATGATTCTTGTACTAAAAGAAAGCTCATGAGTTGGGCTTTTATATTCTAGATTTAGAAAGTGCTACATGCAGAACTTCACTAAAACAATAGTCCCGATATTTGGGTTTCGCTTTTTTTAATTCACCCTGTACAGCGCGTCCCCAAATACCCGCAACTGTTGCGAGGCTCTAGCGTCGCCGCAGAAACACGTACCGCCATTATTTTTACATTATTTTTAAAGCTTGGAATCTTAACATTTATCCCATGTAAGCTTGGTTTGATTTTGAAAAGGGTTTTGAAATGATTGGTGTTCATTAAGGCATATCAAACACAAACTCAACCGATTTCAAGGAAAATCAATCACGCGCATTTTTTTCTAATGTGGAGATGATTATCACGTTCATGATGTGACGATCTCGTTGCCTTCTATTTCTGTGTTTCCTTTTCTTTTCGATCCACGTAGACAACATCTTAAATTAATTCACAATTGAAGTTGTTCTTCGTTTCCAGTTCTAATTGAAATTAACGTGCATTTATGTACTATTCAAAAAAGCGCGCTTAAAGTATGACTCGAGTTCGCATCTGATGTACCGCGTCATCGATTTTCCTTGAAATCGGTTGAGTTTGTTTTCGACATGCCTTTATCATTTTAAACACGAATAATTTTAAAACTCTTTTAAAATACCAAACAAATACTCGCCAGATTCCAAGCTTTAAACTGGTATCAAAATAATGGCGGTAGCGTAGACGCTAGAGCCTCGCAAAAAAAAGTTGCGGGGAGTATTTTGGGACGCGCTGTTTAGAAAAGAGTGCTATGCACAATAAGCTCTGGCCGTCTTGAATGAAAGTCTTGCATGAAATGATACAATTACTCACTTGGTCATGATTGTCAATTGAAATAAGGATTTCCCATTTGTTGAAAGTCACAATGCAAAACAATAGTGACCTTTATAATGCAACTGCATCCTCACTCCTATACGCCCTGGACACTAATAAAAGTGACACAGGGCCAGAGGCAGGGGTGATGTACCGGTATAGCGACAGGTGTTAAGAAGCCCCCGAAGTTCGTAGCGCACAAAATACCACATGACTATCATTATTGAGACATTACCTTACAGTTTTCGTTTTGGGGTTTTTTGTTGGGGGGGGGGGGGGATTGACAGAAAACATCGAGTGACTCGTAGAAGCTCTGTTGCCAGAGCTTGAACATTTCTTTAAAAAATCCCTTTGGAAACAACACCAAGATGTCTAGTTTTCTTGAAATCTCCAGAGGAAGTTTTGAGACCATACTCCACAGAAGATTACCTCAAAGGAATTTGAAGTGAGGGTGCTAAATCTATGGGCAAAAGTAGTTTTGCAAAACTTGAAGGGTTGTCTGAGGTGCAGAAGACGAGGATGGGTCAGTTACAAGAAAGACTATTTTTTTTCAAAGCCAGTAATAGCGAATTTAAGGCATTTTTTTTGCATAGGTGGCTGTTTGGCTAGGATACAGCTTCGACTCATCTCCTTACTAATTTTGTCAAAATAAAGTTGTGAGTCGGCCTAAAGAGAATTGAAAAAAAAAACGCAAAAAAAAAACACACCCAAATGTGGGTGCACTTGGGTGTGTGTGTTTTTTTTTGCGTTTTTTTCAATTCTCTTTAGGCCGACTCATAAGCTCTGGCTATCTTACATGAAAGTCTATAAATTTGACCGGAGATTGTGCACACAAAATGTACAAGCGTGGGGCCGCGGCATCCCACGCACCGCGTCCCACGCGCCCTGATCCCACGCGAAAACCACGCTGCGCCGAAAATTGACCAAAAGAAGCACCTAAATCTCCCATAAAATATTGCGTGCTTTTTCGCGCGGTTTTATAGCGCGCTGTACACCACGTGACTATAACATTACTGCACATATCTTGCCTCCGTTTACAAAATGTTCATAAACAACTTCACGTATAATGTTACACACAATTTTGTGAAGTATTTAATTTATTTTATGTTTTATTTTTTCGTGAAAATTTAAATTTGGAATGTTTGTTTTTCGTTTTTTGGTCAATTTTTCGGGGACAAACCGACCGACCGACTGACGGACCATGAATCTTCTGCCAGAGCTTGAAAACACCACAGACAAAAGCAATAATAAACTGAGCAAACTTACCCGATTGCACGCCTACGTTTGATTCAGTCCACGCACTGCGAAGCAGGTTTCTACGAAAAGTAAGTGACACGAGTTAATGATTTTCTTTTCTTATAAAAATAAAGTCAAATTTGATACACCAATGAAGTGTATCTTAAAAGAGCATGTTCTTCCACACATCTAAAAAAACAACATAGAATGACTGAAATTTGTCCATGCTATCAAAAGTAGGCCTAATGCACGTTTTACTAAAAGAACCCCTTTTTATAGTTGTCCATGGAATTTCATTGGAAGCTATTGAGCTGAGTGAGGTTTACAGATTACACACAATCATGCACTCAAATACAAATTAAATATAAATTAAACAATCATGACTGAAACATTATTTTTTTCTGTCATACTTTGGTTTGTTTTGATGAGTTTGAGGAACAAGTCATTTATTTTTTCTCTGAAATATTAATAGCGATTTTTGGCATGTTTTCCTTTGCAAGTTCTCCATTCATCGAGGTGGGAAAACATCCATGTTTCATTTTATTTAATGGTTTCATCAGTTCGTAGAACGGTAAATGATCAGTGGTGGACAGCTGAATTGTGTGATCCATTAAAAATAGACGTAACTTCTATGCAAATAACGTGAAATTTTCACAGTATAGTCAATAAGATGTAATTTATGCTTGTGTTTTATGATGAAATTGAGGAAGTTGTATAGTTTAATACACTCACCCTGTGAATCACGAAGGCCGAAATAAGTTGCTGTTCAAGTCTGCCGAACTGCGCGGAGCGGAGCGTCGCCTCGTCCGGTCCCCCAACCAAGCAAAGTGCCGTTGTGGTACGGTCTCGCGTCCGCCGTCCAGCCAGCCGTTCGGCTTCTCCGAGCTCCGTTGCGGAAGAAAGTGCAAACTCCGCCCTCCCATGTTCATTATATTCTCTTCCGTTGCCATGGTAATCAGGAAGGTGAACTCATCATCTAAACCATCTCCCGCCCAGGATTACCATGATCACGTCAGAAGGAAAAAAAGTGTCCTAAATGAAGGCTCGTTAATTAGCACAGCGCTGCGCGTACGTGTGCAGTTGCTTGCTTTTTCGTCTTCTTTTTTAACTACGCAGGCGCAGTTCTACGGGGGGCTCCCCCCCCCCCCAACAAAAACCAATTGTCCCCCAAACAAAATTAAAATTCCATTAAAAAAATGGCAGTAGTAAATTTTCAAAGTTCACGTCATATAGTCTCACCCCCCCCAAAAAAATAGTCGTTAGAAGGGCCGAGCATTCGTACACTAGTATTAGTTAATATAGTGTGCGTGCATGATATTAATGCACAATTTTATCAGCGCTCTCCATTGAAAGTGTGGTATTCAAAACACTTTTTTTTTCTTAGGTGCGTCACGTCAGCACCGGAATCCAGTTACCAGACCCAAACAAATGTGTGCACGCGTCCTCTCTGTTTTCTTGCGTTTCAGCGTTTAGTATCCACTGAGCTGAAACTCCAACAGGTAATTTGTTAGCATTATGCACCCAACTAAAGATTTAGAGCAATCTCGTTGCTTCAAACGAAAACAAGTGCGAGTGTACATTAAGCTCTGGCGAAAAATACGACGCCGATGGCACATATGGAACACCATACTTTTTGTCAATTTCCTCCTTCTGGATACCGTCCAACCACTACAGAAAACACCACGTGACTATAACAATACTGCACAGTTCTTGCCTCCGTTACACCATTTTCGTTAACCACTATACGAATTGCTACAAATAATTTTTAGAGTGCATTTACGGACGACGGCATGGCATATCCTCTATTTTTGTAGAATAATTTTGGGTTAAATTTTCGGCGACCGACCGACCGACCGACCGACCGACACGCACATACTGAAATGTCTATCCTTGTGGAGACATTTCTTTGTTCTCGTGTACTAACGTTTTCGAGTACAGTTTCAAACTAAAATGCTCTTATTTTAACCAGAATTAATTTCCTCGGCTGATATTCGGACTTAATATCCCTTTTCTAAAACTCTATCATTAGCAACTGATCAACATATACCTTGAAAATTCCTAGTTTTTGAGTAAAATCCATATAAGTATTTCGTGAAAACCTTGTGGAGACGTATTCATCTAATCTATTCACAATCTTTTGTTCCCTATTGTGTGCATGTCTCCAGAGGGCACGGTGTATCAGATCAAAAGTGACTTGTAGAAGCTCCTGCCAGAGCTTAAACAAAATATACGCAGACACAGCAAAAGATCCTGCACACCTAATTCGTGTGCAATACCTAATTTATAAGGTACAAGACTTTGGAACACGCAAATAATCTCGCACTAGGACGAGAGAGTAGCTATATTTGGGAGCGTACGGCTCGCGCCATTCGGACGAGGTTGTCGTGCACAGGGAACTCTAATAGTGACGGTATTTAGCTTATCCACAATACACTGGGTTTCCTTCACAAATTTTAAGAAAGACAGAGATGAGCTGTTACCGGTAGGTAAGAACGAAAAGTAATTAGTAATTTAGTAGGCGGCCTATCAGCGAACTTCCCCACTTCATTATCTGGTTTAATTAGACAAAAACAATCCATTCCAAGTTTGAAATGAGCCTTTCTCCCAAACATATCACTCTAATACCCCTTGGCCATGGAAAGGCATTTCGAGTATGTTTTTTTTTAGTCGATTACCGTAGAACCTTAATTCTGGGGAATTAAAATGTCCTCATCAGCTATTACAATACAGGCCTAATGACTCTGAGCTAATTAAGTGGAGACCACCCCGAACGACATTTTTAACGATATTATCAAAACCTTCCACGGGAACGAATGCAAAGGAAAAATGTGTCCTTCTAAGATTGGTTAATGCACGGTTAGAAAAGGACATTCTTCTTTGTTGTCCAAAGCTAAAAATGTCCGTGAAATTTTCCAAGGAAATTTACCAGCAATTCGGCCTGTTTATCCGATGGGCTCGTAATTAGTACGCCACTGACGTCCGTTCTCGGACCGGCGCGGCAGGCCTGCCTGGCCGGTTAATAAGCCGGCACGTGGTTTTTGCTAATTGAACGACGGCAATGAAGCTGTATCTCATCGTGTGTGCACGTCCTAGGTGTTACCTAGCACAGTATACAAAAGAACACTGCGTCTTCATCTCCAGATTCTGACCATTCAGCGGGCGCCTTCTATCGGGTCTTCGGTAACTCGTCGTTATATTACAAAAAAAAATATGGCAGCCAATTGACCAATTCAACAGCTCAGGCCGAACTTCTGCTCGAAATGACGCCGCAACTTCTAAAGTCGCCTCCGATTGGCCAGCGTGCGGGATCGCATCAAAATGCACGCTCACTGATATCAGACGTTGTTGCGGAGCGTGTGGGCTCCGCTGAAAAACGGATGATAGTCAGACTAGGTGTCATGACCCGTAATGTAATAACGGACCCGTTGTGTAATAACAAGTGCGAGTGCACAATAAAATCTGGTCGTCTTGCATGAAAGTCTTGCATGAAATCCATCAAAATGATCCCTGCCAGAGCTTCAAAATGCGACGCCGAAAAATGCGACGCCGATGGCACATTATGGAACAACATAGATGTACATGTACCTAGATTGATAGCGACTTGTGATAAATATCACGTGACTAAAACCTAAGTGCACATATTTTGCCGCCTCCATTTACAAACGTTTCATAAACATCTTTCCGAACTGTTACCAACACTTTTTGTTAAGTATTTAATTAATTTTGTTTGCTTAATTTTTTTTTTGGGGGGGGGGGGAATTTAAATTTGGTAGTTACATTTTGTGGGAAACTTATTGGGTCATTGTGGTCGATTTTCGGGGACAGACATATGCAAAATAAACGCACGTACGCATCGATCGAAACAAAATCGCTGTTCCGAAAACCGTAAGTAAGAGTGTATTTTAAGACGCGGTAGTCAATTATTTTTGGTCAAATTTCGGGGACCGACCGACCGACAGCTAGATCGACCGACAGACAGACCACTCGGTGACATGTGGAAGCTCCTGCAACATCTTTCATAATTAAATATTTGGCAGTAAACAAGCAGACCGACCGACTGACAGACAGACAGCTAGATCGACCGACAAAGACAGACAGACCGACCGACCACTCAGTGACATGTAAAATCTCCTGCCAGAGCTATCATAATTACCAATTTGGCAGTAAATTACAAGCAGACCGACCGACCGACTGACAGACAAACACCACGACCGACCGACAGACAGATAGACCGACCGACCGACAGACAGATAGACCGACCGACCGACCAAACAAATTCCAAATTTGGCAGTAAACTGCTAGCAGACGTGTGCATAGAATCATTACCATAAACCATTTTAAAAACCAAACAAAAATAAAACTGCTCAAAATAAAGTCTCATTCTCTCATTTCAGAATGAAATTTTATTTCAAATGCACCAGAAAAGTAAACGGGAACAAAGCCATTAAATTCTTCTCTTAAGAAAAAACCCCAAGCAGTAGGCCTAGGCTAGGCCTATTCATTAGGCAAATATGAAAGAAGCCAATTAATTCATGGTGTAAACAGTTACACCTTTAGGTACGTAATCAGGCGTCCAAACGAAACCTGTCACTAGCTATTTTTGTTTGAAACAAAAATTAATGCGGCTTGGCATTGCAAACGGCTTAATGACGGGGGTACAAGGAACACACATGGAGGGACTCGTGAACAGACGTAAAGGGTCGGGAGGAAAAACACAAAAAGAATTAATGGGGGGGGGGGATTAATTGGGGGGGGGGGCAGGATGGAGTTAGATGACTAACAAAGGACGGATTAAATAGGGGAAGACGGGCCACAAGTTGATTATTACAGGGGACAAGCCAGTGTAGGTGAGATCAAAGGAAATGATTAGGAGTACCAAAGGGCGGGCAATCCGAATAGAAGTGTGGAGATGGATAAGGGACAACAGTTTTAATTTAAAGAGGTTGTGGAATGCTCGAAGACATTTCCGTCATTTTTCGGGTATATGTGGCCCAAGGTGTGATGAGATAAAAACGACTATTGTGTCTGTCATGAAATGAGTACAAAAGGTACTTTTGAGAGCTGTTTTTCAGGTCCTGTTTCGACCCGAACGTGCAATTTGTGTAAAAGTCGTCGTTGGGGGCAGCAAACAAAACATAGTAGATCGTGACGTAATAAACAGGACTCCCGATGCAGCGTAGTATAAACGAGCATTCCACAACCTCTTTAAAAGTCAACAAGATGGGCTCCTATGTTGGTACTCTCAGTAACGAAGAAGAAGTAGAAACATTGATTCAGCAATTTCTGTAATTTCCATTATGTTATTTCTGTCTGGAACTCAATATGTTTGGATGAAGGAAATATTTGGATCAAGGAAATATAATCAGTATTGGCCTCGCAGTAGACAATGGTGTTTTTGGTTGAAATTACCGATGCGAGATTGAAATGCCTTAATCTTATTCAATTAGTACTGTTCTTCAATTCCAAACAACAGACGCCCTCCCTGTGTGACATTATGTTTATTACATCCAGCTCCGCAAAGGAGGTCATGTTTTCATCGAATTTTGTTGGTTGGTTGGTTGGTTGGTTTGTCTGTCAACAAGATAACTCAAAAAGTTATGGATGGATTTGCATACAAATTGTAATTAGGGTTGTCCTTGGTACAAGTACACATTGATTAGATTTTGGAAGTGATCCGGATCTGGGTCAGGATCCAGGATTTTTTTTTTAAGGATTCTTCACCATTTATGCGAGTATATACATGTATCTTTTGGGGGTAAGGTAAGGAGTTGTAAATTCCATATTATAGTAAGAGGGGTGTTTCATAAAACCCGAGGTGAAATTGTTGCACGAAATGGTTGACAACGTCTAGTTTTTGACTTGTTTTGATTTTTGGACCGAAAAGATTTGATATTTACCCGCGGCATCGCCGCGGGTAAATTATCACCCATCCAGACTCGAACCGGTCTTAAACAGAGTTTTTAATACCTCCCAAACACACTTTAATTTGTATAAGCCCTTTAAGGAACAGACTATCATTTGTAATTTGTGTACTTTGTTCGTTTGAAGCAACAAACGTGCTCAAAATCTAAAGAAGGCTGCTATGCTGAACAACTAACCTATTGAACTTTCAGCTCAGCTTCAGCTGTATATTCCGAGAAAAACAGCATTCTAGGAT